AATAATAATAATAATAATAAATAATAAGAGTAATATTAATGCTGAATTTCACAACGCAATACACACATGTGAAGGCGTTTTCATATTACAATTGCGATGTTACAGGATGCAAATGTCTGCACTCGGGCGATACCTCTTGTCAGTTGTTTAAACGCCGTCTAAGGGGAAGTACTGTAGTCGGGGCGAATCTGTACATTCCACATCCGTTAGACATCAGAGGCAAGGGGAGTAGATAAGTACATACTGTCCAGACAAAACGAGCGTCGTTTCGCGGCAGAAATACTTCGCGTCTCGCTGTTTAACGTACTAAATGCGACATTGAACAATTTTGAAACTACGGCGTCTAATATGGCAGGCAACTGTTTCACACACGAAGATAAAAGATTGGGATTAAACTGGGCGTTGTATTAAATTCGTACAGTGAAATAACTGTGTGAAGTTTCTTGGTATGGGGCGGAAGGTTCATCACCGTAATCACAAAAGTCCAGCTACTGGAAACCGTTCTCAGATACTCGAGTCCAGCTCAAATGTTCAATAGATTTTTAAAACTTTATTTTCATATACTCCCTGCCGTACCTCGTGTCATACCATATTTCCGTCTTAAAATGGCGAATTTTTACGTCACGTGTTTGCAAATGCACCTAAGATTTTGTCAGAATATCACCTGAAGATGGCAGTAGATGTTATAATGATCTGGACGTTGTCACAGATTTTTAGAAGGTCGTGACCACGTTCTCATTAACCCTTTGAAGCCGAAGATCGTCAGAATATTATTTAAGAATTCAGTCCGTACCGCGAAGAAAACACTACACCTCACCATTACGAAAATCAGCTGGTTAACCCTTTGAAGCCGAAGATCGTCTGAATATTATTTATGAATTCAGTCCGTACCGCGAAGAAAACACTACACCTCACCATTACGAAAATCAGCTGGTTAACCCTTTGAAGCCGAAGATCGTCTGAATATTATTTATGAATTCAGTCCGTACCGCGAAGAAAACACTACACCTCACCATTACGAAAATCAGCTGGTTAACCCTTTGAAGCCGAAGCTTGTCTTCATAATATTTACGAATCCAGACCGTACCGCGAAGAAAACACTTCACTTAACCATTAGAAGTCGAATCAGGCGGTACCACATAAGATTTAACAAAAGAACATTCCGGGCAAAGCCTTAATTCAGACTTTTTCGGACACGAAGTTTGACAACGCTGTTTTGCAGATTTTGGCACTACGTAAGTCTTTGAAGTTCTCCCCCTGATAATTTATCATCGTTGACCGTTCTTTATTAGCTAACAATGATCTCAAGATAGATGGCCTTGGGGAATCACTTTTTTTTGTACGCGAGAGTTCCCAATTCGATATACTCGTCTCGTTGCTTGTTAACAACAAAACAGCTTAGTGGTACAGGACGAGTCTTTGTTACCTTGTTGCCCTTAACATGTTTTCCCAGAAGCTTTTTCATTTCATATTGATATCGTTTTCGCGAGTTTTGTTTCCAGTGGCAGCTGCCTTCTTTATCGACTGCTTTTATTTGTATTTTCTCTTAGGACTGACGGATCACGTCCCTCAAACACACGAAAGAACGGATGTGCTTAGAGCCGAGATGCAAATGTCAGGTTTCGTACATGAACAACGAAGACATTTCTATATTAATAATCTTTATTATTTCGTAAGGGATATCCTAGTAGGCTCTAATGTTGTCCCTTGGCCTTCGCATTTATTATCATCCCATCTATTCACCACTTTATAAGGTATTTACTTCTGTGTACCTGAGAAAAACCTAGCCTCTGAGGTATTTCTGAAATACATTTTGTTTTTAATACGTGTTACACGTATTATAATAGTTTTATTGTGAGAGATTACTAAACATTTTACGACAGCGTCTTTCGAATGATGTACGAAGATCCCAAAATGGCGGTCTTCTGAAGTTCCCTGACGTCGTGTTCGCCCGGAATGTTCCTCAAATATTTTCTGAGTGACTTGGAGACAGTTCCAGTTGCTCGTATAATTATTGGGATTATTTTCACTTTCCACATTCGCTGTATTTCAATGAGAAGGTCCTTCTATTTCAAGATCTTCTTCGTTTCCTTCTTAATTATATTTCTGTCAGTTTGTATTGAAATTTCGATTAAGAGACAAGACCCATTTTTGTTTCGGATTATAACAATAATTATTATTATTACTACTACTCTTTTGTGTTATTTTTGGATTATCAGTAATTGGCTGTTAATCGAATTTAATTCAAGTATTGACCTTTATTATTAATTAATTATTCGGTTTTGTCCGTCTAATCACAATTTATATTTAAAATTTACAAATAAGATAATTAAAATATCATTTTATGTTCCACATCGAATAATCGATTTACATTTGGAACATAAAATGATATTTTAATTATCTTATTTGTAATTTTTAAATATAAATTGTGATTAGACGGACAAAACTGAATAATTAATTTAATATTTGATTCACAATATGACGCAATTATACTATTTTTATTATTAATATTAAACATGATAACTCAGCAATGTACAGTCTGGTTGACCCAAGATACATTCCCGACATTCTGTTAATGTTTCCGTTGTCCAAAACACGAAGTCCATTACCCGAAAATGGCGTTGAGGAGTTTTTGCGCGTAATTTAGCGTGGCACGAGGAATGTCAGCTTGAACTTAGTCGCCGGTGTAAATTAATCTCATCGATGTGAATGCGTTAGAATTATACAGTTTTTTTTACTCTGGGTTTTCAACGAGATTTTTGCGTGCCGACCGGTTGAGACACCCTGGACTGCAAAGATCAGCTCGCGTGATAAATTGCAATGAGTGTGAAATGTTTTTTCGAAGTTAACTAAGTTGGTAAAAAAATCAGAATATAAAGAACATTTTGTTTTGATCCGAACTGTCTCCTCACGTAATGTAAGAAAATTCAAAGTTGGTTTCTGTGTTTATTTAACGACGTTGGAAACTGACGTCGATTCAGATGTAGTAAGTCTCATTTCAATACGATTTAATGACATCGCGGTGGTAGGTCGGGCCCGTATCACGTTTCGGGGCTGGTGTGGAAAATTCATGAAATGACGACATTTAGGGAAAATCTTAAACATTCCAAAAAAATAATATATATATATATATATAATATATTGGCCCAAAATATACCTACCAGGTTTAGTTAGTGTTTTATTTTACCTTCCTGCCGGGATCCCCGATGTATATATCTGAAGGATTTTGACGAAATTTTGTATGAGACCCGTTATAAAAAAGATAGCGATTAAAACGATTTAGAGATGTGTGGTTCACTGTTTGTACGCTTATATTGTGTTATTTAAATACAAGCTTTATAAGGATTCGAGATGAAAATAAGCTTATTTCCAAATTGTTTCATAAATTAATATTAGCGCGCATACCGTATGTTTTGTACATTTTTAATGTTTAAAAATTGACTTATTTTTCCATGTTTTTTCATATATGTGCCTTGGATTAACATGAAAAACATGAACGCAAATGTGGAAATGAGGAGTGTCGTCCATTCAGAGAATGAGACA